TCTAGTCCTTTGTTCTGCTTTTTAGGATACAGAGATTAATGAGTAAGGGGTCTAAAGAGGTCATCATATCCATTCCTCTGCATCCTTACAGGACAGCCCTTCCTTGATGCCTGACGGAAGGGGAGGAATCATTGCTCTAAAGCATTGTCTTTCAGATATTTGTCCCTATCAGATAACTTTTAGCTTCTTGTTTTTGCTTCTGTTTTTACAGAACCAAACCCAAGTGTCTTCAGTGTATTGTATGGTTCGTGCTTCCAGACTTTAGGAGCGATAAAGAACAATAAGTGTCTTTCTGGTGCATGTCTGTATTCTGTCCCCTCCCTACCATCACTTCTCTGACTGTGCCATTCTGCATTTGTGGCACGTTTTGCATGCCCTGACCTCATCACTCCCTTCCCTACCCCAAATCTAAAGTAGTTGTTCCTGAAGAGTGGACAAGGGATGCAGCAGTGAGAGAAGGAAATAGTGGTCATAGGTGATTGCTTCCTGGTCACTAGGCCTTAGGACATAGCTCTCACTGGGGGGCTTGTGTATATGTCCAAGGCCTTGTCCGCCTCTCCACCCTTTCTCAGTGGGGGGATGGGAAGGGTCTGTTTCTGGTCTGCGTTTTGGCCAACACCAATCTCCCCGCCCACCCAACAAACCCAAGGGCCTTGCTTTGCTTGTTGCCAGGTTCTGAGTATATTTTTTTTTTCAGAGCCCTTTGATTGTTTCCTGAAGAAACCTGATCTCAGAGCTCAGACAAAAGCTGGGGCCGCCAGAAGAGAAACCCCATTCTCTCCTCCTCTGTCCCTAACTCTCCCCCCCAATAACCTCCCTCGCTTTGGATGCTGGGTATGGGTTCCAGGACCCAGCTGCCATCACCTAGGCAACAGGGGGCTGTGGTTGCCATGGTGATCAATGTGGGAGAAGCTGGGCAGCTTGGACAAAAGCCCCCACATTCCCCCCAGCCTTCTCCCCAGTCCCCTTGGGATGATACTGAGACACATTCCATTAATTTTATTTCTGAAAGGCTTTTGGAGGGGAGAAGGGTCTCCTTTTTTTGTGATGGGCTCTTTCCCCTCCCTCTCTCCTCTCTGGCCTCCTTTTAACCCCAGATAATCCATGGTTGATCTGAGCAGATCTGAGTGTGTGTGTTTGTGTGTCTTGGAAAGTAGGACCAATGCAAAAAGCAGTGGGACACAGTTTCTTTAAAATAGCACCCCACAACCCGCTCCACCAAGTCTGGACTTCCTCCTCCGCACAGCGTCGTCATCTCTCTGACATTTCTACTTGTTGATCTCATCCAGGGATTCCCCTCCCCCCACCCTCTTCCCTGGGAACGCTGCCCACCAGGGAGACCCTCCAAAGCCCTAATTCCCAAGACTGATTAAATAGGGGGAACTCCTGCCCTTCTCTTTGCTCACTTCCAATTCCTAGCCTCTCCACTACTTGGAAGGAATTGTTCTCTGAGGGTACTTGAGAGAATAGCAGGCCAGGGGTCTCAGCAATTAGGTTAATTTTGGGCCCTGGGTCGATGGATGAGAGAAACCCATGTTTTGGTTTTTGGGCACCCTGACTTGAATTGTAGGGTAGAAGAGATGGGCCAGGGGAGCAAGGTCTGTGCTGATTCTTTAATAAAGAGCAGAGGAAGAAGATAGGGATCTCTAGGCTGAGCATCTCAGAATGAACAGGAGGGGACTAGCCCCTTGTCGGATTTGGAATGTATGGGTGGAAAGCAAAATGGCATCAGCTTCCCTCCTGGATGTGTCTGTAGTGGTTTCGTGTGTGTGTGTGTGTGTGTGTGTGTGTGTGTTCTTAGTCATCCAAACAACAGGGTTTATTTATATGATCTCTTTTCCCCCGTCTCAGAGGAAGTGTTTGAGATTGGCGGATGAGTGATTCTGGAGCCAGTGCTTATTAATTGCTTAACTAATTACTAGCCGAGCAGTTCATAAAGCACTCCTTTCACTCTCATGATCTTCAGACTAATCCCATGAAGTAAGCATTATCATCTTCTTTAATTTACGGATGAGCCTATCAGACTACTAAGAACACACAAGTTAAGTAATTTGCCCATGGTTGCACATCTAGTCAGTTGAAGAGTTGGCTTTTGAATGCAAATCCTTAGATATAGATCCTAGCTGTTTGCTGTTGGATATAGATCACAGCTGTTGGCTGTGGTGGATATGAGGTGAGAGGGAGAATATGGAGATTCTGGCTCCTTGGGAATGTGTCTAGATTCAAATTTGTGACAGTCCTTTCTGTCATGACTTTCTTCCTTTGTTTTGCTACCCTTGCTCTGTGACCCACTTCCTGTCTTTGAACTTCCCTGTGAAATTCAGTTTTAAAGAGGAGAACCAGAAAGAATGGGATAAAAACACAGAAAGGGATATGGAGGAAAGCCATCTAACTATATTTAGAGGTCAACTATTAGAATGGGTTCTCTAGAGAGAAGGTAGAAAAAACTCAAGTTGTAATTTATATATAAGGGGATGACAGAGGCCTTGTTTGTGGCAAAGGTTTAGAAAAGTTTAGTGTTGGTTGGATTAAGCCTCTGTCCCCTAAATGTGCCCTGTCATACACACTTGTCTTGACACAGGCATGTTGACGTCGCTAACCCGTGGGTTGTTTCCAGATAACTCCGTTAGGAGAATAACTTAATGGATTTAGCATTGATTTCATCTCCCCACAATTGTTGCCATTTCCCTGGGAGTCAGAGAAGCATATTCATTTACTAGGTTGGCATCAATTATTTGCTGTCTTCCCATGGGAAGGTAGGTAGATACAACTATGTATCAATCATCTTTACTCAGGTTGCTGGCAGGTGGTTTTGCTTAATTGGAGCAAAGGTAACAACTACACAGAGCAAATCCATTTTAATGCATAAAATAACTGACCTTTCAGCAGCCTTTGACTTGTTTGGCTATTCCCACCTTAAGTTCTTGGCTGTTATGAGCCTGCAGTTTTTTGACCCTCTCCTGCTCCTCCCATGTGCCCCTCCTCATCTCTCTTGGTTGCTCCTTTTCCTCTCATCATATTTGCATCGGAATTCTCAGGAATCCTTCTGGACTTCCTTTTTTTGTTATTAACATAATCTTCCTAGGACATTCCATTCATTCCCACGACTTTGAATACTGTTGATACCTCCAGCTCAGACTCTCCTCTGAGTCCAGCTGCCTACTTGACGGCCTGCCTCTTGGCTATAAACTTAGCACACTGAGAACAGAACTCATTGTCTTCCTCACAAACTAGCTTCTTTCCCCATCTTCTGCCCCCTTGTTCAGGCTGGGGATTCTTGACACTTCCTCCCTCTTAACCAGTCCCTTATTAGGGCTTGCTAAATTGAGCACTAATATATGTCTCAGACATTATCTGTATCACCCCTGAATCCCGCTCCACCCTGGTTCAAGTCTGGGCCATTGCAGTAGTAACTTCTTGATTGGTCTATTTCTGCTTTTTACCCTCTTTTCAGTCTTTACATCATAGATAAATTACTTTTGAATATTCTCCATTGCCTTTAGAATAAGATGTAAGCGCTTCTTTAGACCCTCCGCCTTATTTTTTTTTTAAAAAAAACCTTGGCCCAGTCTTTCTTTTCAGCATCAGCTTCCAGAACCTTCTCCCTTCCCAACTCCAGCTGCATAGACTTTTCCCCTTACTATCTGAGCTCTTTCATATCTCAGGAGACACATTCAGGAGACACATGTGTGGTTCTTCTGTGCCACTAGCTTTCCTTCTCCTCTTTGCTTGCTTAACTTTTTTTTTCTAGGTCTCTCTCTAGGTGTCATTTCCCCCAACCAGAACCATTGGGTTTAAAGTATACCCCCACCCCCAGTTCTCTCTCATTGTTTTCCTTCTTATCAGTCCTATAATTAGTCCTTTATACTTATCTGTTTACTTGTTTTCTCTGCAGCTTCCCCTCTAGACTGTCAACATAAGGTCTGTCTCATGACCATGTATATATACCCAAGATCCAGCAAATTCATAGTTCACAGAAAGGATTGTTTTGTTTTTTTTTTAAAGTGATGAATCAATGGATAAATGTAGGAAACAAGAATTCAGTGTATGGTTTTATAGTATATAGAAGGAAGATAGCATTAGGTGCTAGGTGTGAGAGCGTTTATCTGAGAGGGTGGGTGCTGGGCTTTGAAGAATGTGCAGAATTTGGGTGAATGATAGAGAAAAGGCTATGGGGAGAAAGAAATGCCATACTCTTCTATAGAATTAGAAAAGAAAAATCACAGATGGCAGATACTGTCCCTCAGCCCATAAGTAGCTAGAGAGACCCATGGCCTGTTTCAGGTAACTAGGCTTTGGGAGAATGGTGTGTCCGCATCACATCATCAGTAGTTTCTTTCCTTGTTCCTACCCCCTAGTGAGTGTGCACAACACACACACACACACACACACACACACACACACACACACACACAGCCTTTAGAGGAGCAGCCAACATGACTTGGCCAATAATTGTGGGTATGTGTGACATAGATGTTGAAGACATTGTGCTAAGAGAATAAGCCCTAGGCAGTCCCCCTATGGGGGTATGAGAGAAGATAGGGGGAGAGAGAGAAAGGAAGAAAGAGAGAAAGAGAGAGAGAGAGAGAGAGTGAGAGTGTGTGTGTGTGTGTGTGTTAAGGAAAATGGAAGGCAAGAGTGAAGGTAGGGGATTAGGGGATTAGTCTCTGGACAGAACCCAGACTCAACTGCTTTCTGTTCCTGTCTCCGTCTGTTCAGCTTGTTGCTTGGCCAGCACTTGCCTTCTGCAAGGCTCAATTTTCCTGGCTGAGGCTAGAAAAGTGATGCCCAGATTCTCCCTCCAGGGTGTCCAGGATTGAGTCATTTTGGTCATTCTGCCCTGGAAACTTTGACCCTCTTCCCCATATACTCCAGTGCTTGGCAGGCACCTGGGAGGGAATATTCTTGGTCAGCGTGTGTCCATCTGAACTTTGGGCAGCTGTTATCTGGGAATGGTCTTGTCCTCTGGGAGCTCTAATCAGTTGTTTCCTCCCCATCAGGAGCGTCGCTTGATTTTCTCTGAGCCAAGCCCACCCGTCCAGCAAAATAGAGTCCCTCAGGGTGACAGTTGACTTCCTGAAGGTGCCTCTTGGCCTAAAGAAGCCGGTACTGAAGGAGGTGGCTGTGGGGCCCCCCAAAAGGCCCCAGCCTGCGGCCCTGGAGCGCTACAAGGCGCGGCGTTCGGACGCCATGGACACCGAGTCCCAGTACTCCGGCTATTCCTACAAGTCGGGCCACTCCCGCAGCTCCCGCAAGCACAGGTGGGCGTGCATGTGAGGGTGGTGCGGGGTGGACGGAGGGTCGGGAAGCATTTCAGATGGTCGGTGAGGGTGGCTGCTGAGAAGATTCGGTGTCTTCCCCTCACCTTGTATTACAGAGACCGCAGGGACCGACATCGCTCTAAGAGCCGGGATGGGAGCCGTGGGGACAAGTCAGTGACAATCCAGGCTCCAGGGGAACCTCTGCTGGACAATGAGTCCACGCGAGGGGATGAGCGGGTGAGCATCCATTGTTTTTCTACCTTACTATGCCCTTGTGCCCACCTTTGTGCACGAATTATCTAGGGAGTTTTTTGAAAAAAGGCCAATGTCCCTATCCCAGTGTCTGGGATTGAACTTGATCAATAACTTCCTCCCCCGCTCCCCGCCCCAACGCTGGAAGAATTTAGGGCTAGACCAAGAGCTTTCAGATTGTATTGAAGAAGCTGAAAACTCCATCCATTAGAAAAAGGATGAGGCTGGAAGTGCGGTCTTATCAGTCAGAGGCCAGGTCAGGGAAGGGGTCTTGTGTCCTCTTTCCTGCTTAGCATTCCAAGCTTGGACCTTGCTATGTAGGGAATTTCAGCGACGATCTCTTTGGGAGCACCCGAAAGGTGGGTGGTTAGGAGGATCTGGTCACTGTAATGGGAATTGGCTGTTTTCTATGGAGCAGATGCCAGCCAATGACGTTGTTGGAGAATCGGAGGAGGTAGGTGGGTGGGGTCTGAGGGAGGCGGGCAGGATTCGAGATCGAGACTGAAGGAGTGGGAACTGTAGCGCACCCTGGTGTTGTTTTGTGGAACAGCACCCCTTGGGGTTTAGGGGAAGAGAGATGTGAGAAGAGTGGATGAAGAGATGAGAGGATGGAGAGGGAACCAGGAAAAGAGTTCTCTGTGACAGGGATAAGCTAGTTGCTTCTTTTTTTAATCTCGACGATTCATGTGGTAGATAGGCAGTAGGAAGAACACAGTCCTGGAATAAAACAGAGACAAGGTGACTGTGGTGTTTCATTTCTTTTATTTTTCTACTGGGAGCATCTTGGGAAATAAGAGTACTCAGCTCCTTTTCCTCAGAAGAAATCTGTCTGATTGACATTAGCAATTCCTGGATCTAGTTAGATTGATAGTTGAAGAAAATGTATTTTTTCCTCTTATTTTGAAATCCTTGAGACCTGGTCTATTGAATTCTTGAAGTGATTTTTAGACATATTTATCTGACTTCTTGCTGCAAAGGAACTCTTCAGAGAGGATACACATGAATCTGGGGGTCAACCAAGGGTGAAGAGTAGGCCCAATTACTTGAGCTGAACATGGCCATTTTATCCAGTTTCTATCTTCAAATCAGATTCTTCTCTCCCATTTGGGGACTGGCAAGTACACTCTTTGTGTGAAATGATCCCTCAGCCTCCCTAACCATTGGTCCTGCTGAATTTTCTCCCACCACTTCATCCTCAGTATTTTAGCCTGGTGGCTTAAATCTCCTGGGTGGAAGATTAGGACTTCCTCTTCCCAGATAGGAAGCTCATTGCTTCAGTCTCTCATGAGAATGGCACAGGATAGGACAGGGTTCAGATTTGTTGTTCATAGGATTGTTATGAGTTGTACTCAGCTTAATGGCACCTAACAACAGCAACAACATCCCCAGACTGAATGAGTGATGTAGAGTTTGTACACTGAAAGTCTATTATGGTCTTGGGACTCCTCTGTGGGATGACCTCTAGTCACTGTAGGGCAATGAGTTGAGTGAACTAAGTTTGCAAGGGAATCTGGAGACCTTAACCTGTCCAGCCTGTGCCTCCAACAGGCAGCCCTGTCCTTTGGATGTTCAGATAGTCCAGCAGAGCCTCTGGATAGACCAGAGACCCCAAGCCACCTTACGTCTGCACTTGTGCCTTCCACACCTTTCACTCACTGTTCACTTTCTTCCTTCCTGATTTCTCCCCCACATGTTTTCTTCTCTTTACCAGAAAGCTTATGTCAGGTAACATCCTTAATCAGAAGTCTTGAGGCACTCTCTAATTCTTGAAGAATCAATATGGTTGTTCAGCCTGACATTGCGGTGTGTCCCACCCAAGCTTGGCCTGGCCACTTTTGGCCTCACCTTCCCTGCTGCACTATGCTCATGGGTGTGGACCACCTGCTCATGCCTCTCCTGTATCTGAGTGTTCTCTCATTCTTTAGCTTCTGCTGAAATCATGGAATGCAGTGGAGGCTGGAGTAGATTTAGGGCAGGATTCTAATATTTTACTGTGTGAACGATTTCTTGGGAACTTGTTAAAAGATTTTAGTTCAGTAAGTGTGGCCTGAAGCTCAAGATTCTACATTGCTAATCAGCTCTCATATGATGCCTGGGCTGCTGCCCCACAGAACACATCTTGAGCTGCTAGGTCATCAAGATCATATGGTTCAGTGCTTCTCCACCTTGGATGAGCACTAGAATCATTAGCTCTGGGGAGCTAAAAAACAAAACAAAACAAAAAACACCAAACAAACAAACCAAAAACAAAAAAAAACATGAACTAGGTAAGTTTGGTGGAGGGAAAGACAATATTGAATAAGGGTTTGATTAGATATCTTAATAAATTAATTATATTAAGCAATTGCAGTTAATGTTATAAAACCATGTATCTATAAATGATTGAATAAAAGCCCAATATGATTTGTAAACATTTATTCAAATAAAAGAAATTAAAATAAATTAAAAAAAGGTTGAGACGAAGATTTCACTCTATGTGGTATGACCTGGGCACTGATATTCTTTTTCTGAGATCTTTAGGTGATTCTAGTGTGTACAGCTAGGCTGGAAATCACAAATTCAGCCCAACTTCTTTAGGTCACTTCATAGATGCAGCAACTTAGCTAGCTGTTCCTGCCTAACAGGGTCATCTCAGCCCCCAGGTTCCTGGCAGCTTGTTTTCTTCAGTTCCTGCGGCATTTCTCTTGTGCCCTGTGCTCTGAAGGTCATCTCCTGCACGCATAGCTGTCCTCTTTCACTGACCTGTGTAAATGTTTCCCGAGGGCCCAAGCCTTTTACTCCTTGTTATGTTTTTTTTTAAATTTCCCCTTGTTATGTTTTGAATTTATTTGATTATGATAAAATACATATAACAAAACATTTTTGTAATTTCAACCATTTAACGTGTGCAATTCAGTGATATTATCTTCACCATGTTGTAGAACCACTACTTATTTTCAGATTTTCCCCTGAGACTTAACAAATTAAATGCCTCTCATGCAATCTCATTTTCTTCCTCCCTCCCATTCCTGGACATCACTAATAAATTTTAGTCCTTATGTATTTGCCTATTCTAGGTATTTCTCTTTTTCTGTCTAACATATTCAACTCAGGATAATGTTTCCAAGGTATTTATTCATGACATAGTACATGTCAGAACTTAAATTCTTTTTATGGTTGAGTAACCCACTTTTATACTTCTGATAAGAGAGCTCTGGTGGCCTTGTGGTAAGGAAATGCACTGCCGACCCAAACACATGTGATTTGAATCTACCAGCTGCTTTGAGGGAGGAAGATAGGCAATCTCCTCCTGTGTGATTTACAGCCTCTGAGAACCTGGAAGGTCTGCTGTGATTTAATTCTAACTTGACGACACAGAACAAGAACAGCTTATTTCTGATGAGAGCCTTTGCTGAGGGCTGTGTACTGTGTTGAGCAAACTGACAGGCTCACTCACACTCATTCCTTCATTGCCATCAAGTCTGCATTGACTGATAGCTGATGCTCCAGTGAGTTTTCAGAGGCTGTAAGTCACAGGAGAGGAATTGCTTGTCTTTCCCCCTTGGAGTTGAAATTGACTCAATAGCAGTGGGTTTGGAGTTTTTGATTTGGTTATTTCCTATAGGAGGCAGTGATAGTTCAGCGGCAGAAGTCTTGCCTTCCATACGGGAGACCTGGGTTTGATTCCTGGCCAACACACCTCATACACAGTCACCATCAGTGTGTCAGTAGAGACTTGCACATCATGATTCTGAAGCGCTTTTAGTGGAATTTCTAGACAAACACAGACTAGGAATAAAGACCTGGTGCTATACTGCTAAAAATCAGCTAATGAAAACTTTACTGATCTCAAGGTTCTGATCTACAACCAGTCATGGGAATGGTGCAGAATCTGGCAGCATTTTATTTTGTTGTGGATATATAGATCACCCTAAGTTGGAGGCCGACTTCACAGCCGCCAACAACAGCATCCTTCGGATGTCTGCTGAGGCCAGGCTTGAGCACCCAGGGCAGCTCACTAAATACTTAGATAATTGCATATTTGTTGATTACCTTCTTTCTGTCTTCTCCTTTTCTGTTGCTTTTCTCTGTCTGTCTCTCTTCCTTTGTCCTGTTTCTCTTCCTCCCTCATTGTGTGGCCCCCTCTTGCCTGTAGGATGACAACTGGGGGGAAACAACAACAGTAGTAACAGGCACCTCAGAGCACAGCATCTCCCACGATGACCTCACTCGAATTGCCAAGGACATGGAGGACAGTGTCCCGCTGGATTGCTCCCGGCACCTGGGCGTGGCGGCGGGGGCCACTCTGGCGCTGCTGTCTTTCCTCACACCACTGGCGTTCCTGCTGCTGCCCCCACTGCTGTGGCGGGAGGAGCTCGAGCCGTGCGGGACGGCCTGTGAGGGCCTCTTCATCTCCGTGGCCTTCAAGCTGCTCATCCTGCTACTGGGCAGCTGGGCCCTGTTCTTCCGCCGGCCCAAGGCCTCGCTGCCCCGCGTCTTCGTGCTGCGTGCTCTGCTCATGGTGCTCGTCTTCCTGCTCGTCGTCTCCTACTGGCTCTTCTACGGCGTCCGCATCCTGGACGCCCGGGAGCGCAGCTACCAGGGTGTGGTGCAGTTTGCCGTGTCGCTGGTGGATGCCCTGCTCTTCGTGCACTACCTGGCGGTGGTCCTGCTGGAGCTCCGTCAGCTCCAGCCCCAGTTCACACTCAAGGTCGTGCGCTCCACGGATGGGGCCAGCCGCTTCTATAACGTCGGCCACCTCAGGTATGGTGCCTGGGAGCAGGGAGGGGGCAGTAGGGGTGGCTGTGAGGCTTCTTAGGTCAGGAAGGCCTGAGGAAGGAGTTGAGTGCTGTGCACATAGTGTGTTTTCAGTGCTGCTTGTTATGCAGCTGTGTGTACTGGGTCCAACGGTGAGCTAGGGTGAGAGTTAGGAGTTGGGAGGATGAAACAGACCCTGAAAGATCGGGAATGCAGAGAACAGACTAAAGAGGAAATAGGTATATGGCATATGTACAGGGGTTTGACATTTCTTTTCTAGCTCTTTCTCTTTCTTGTGGGTTCTCAGAGAGGGGCCACTGAAATGAGCTGGCTGTAGGAAGTGAGTCCTGAAGAAAAATAATGAGAAAATTCTTTAGCATCTGATCTGAGGAGCTCTGGTGGCCTAGTGGCAAGAAGCTGTGTTGCAATCCTGAAGGCACGTGGTTCGAGGCCACCAGCTGCTCTGCAGGAGAAGGATGGGCAATCTCCCATGTGATTAACTTCCTCTGAAAACCTGCCAAAGGGTCAGCTGTGGGTCGGTTTCCAACTCTGTGGTACACAACAACAGCAACAACAACAGAGGCCCTGTGAGGAGCTCTGGCGGCTTAGGATGATGTGTGTCAAAAGACCTTCACTTTGAGTCCATTAGCTGGTTTTTGGGAGAAAGATGGACAGTCTGCTCCTGTTAAGATTTACATCCTAAAGACCCCGAGGGGCTTTGACTTAAGTAGGAATTGACTTACTGTCTGTGGGTTATATGCCCCCTAGGCTACGCAGAGTTTCAGTACCGTCTCTTAGGACCTGTAGAATCTTGGGGTAGGTGTGTAGAAGACATTGGATATAGGCATGAAATGACCTGTGGCTGGGAGCCCAGCCCAATGCCCTTTATCCTCTGGGCTTCAGTAAGAAAGGACTAGCAGGCTCAGCCCTGGGGAAGGGTCATGTTGGGAGCTTGGTAAGTAGACCTCAGGCCCTGAGCCAGGTTTCTTGGAAGCAGCTTGTCCCTGTCCTGTGTCCTTTCCTGACCTACCAACCTGCCCTGATGTATCCCTTCCCCTGTACTCCTTGTTTGTCCCTTCTCCCTCCCCTTCCCGCCATCTCCCCCACAGCATTCAGCGCGTGGCAGTGTGGATCCTGGAGAAGTATTACCATGACTTCCCTGTCTACAACCCTGCCCTCCTCAACCTGCCCAAGTCCGTCCTGGCCAAGAAAGTGTCTGGCTTCAAGGTGTACTCCCTCGGAGAGGGTGAGCGGCCCTGCTCCTCCGCCCCTCCTGGTGTCTCCCCAAGCAGGACTCCAAGCCACCTCATCTCAGTTCTCTTCCCCCTCTTCCCTTGCTTTCCTCTTTTTTCTGGTCCATGTCCCAAACCCTCTGTTCTGTCATTTCCCTTTTCTCCATGGGGCTGGTCTTAGGTTGCTGGTTCATTTGCTTTCCCTTTATCCTATGATGTATCTCCCAATTCAGCTCCCATGTTTGCTCCTCAGTCCTGGTCCTAAGCCATTTGGCCACCAAAGAGTCTCCTGAACCAGGGAGGAACCTGTGCGGACTCATCCTTCTTCATTGCTTTCCCATGAGCCACTCCCAGAAGTGGCCAGGAGGGATGGAATGGGAGGTATTGTGGGTGGTAGGAACAGCCTTCTCTGGACATGGCACTTGTCAGATTACTATCCCCAGAATTCCTGTGTGGGAAGTGAGGCCATGCTCTGATATGACCCTCCTCTTTCTACCCTGCTCCTGTGCAGAAAACAGCACCAACAACTCCACGGGCCAGTCCCGGGCTGTGATTGCCGCAGCAGCCCGGAGGCGGGACAACAGCCACAATGAGTACTACTACGAGGAGGCTGAGCACGAGCGGAGGGTGCGCAAGCGCAGGGCCAGGTGAGTGCTGGGGAGCAGGACGGGCTGCTGTGGGGGCCATGTGTGGTGGGAACAGGCTGGGGAGGGGAAGTGTGGGTAACTGCTGAAAATAGAAAGACAGTGATGTGAGTGGTGGGGGATGTGTGCATGTTAGCTTTCTGTTGTTGCCAGTTACCCAGAGGGGCGGTAAAACAACACATATTTATTATATCACAGTTGCAAGCATTCTAGGTAACGAGATCCTCTGTTCAGATTTCACAGACAGTCTTCTCTGAGTTGGGGGTGTCCTCTTCCAAGTTTGTTGTGGTTTGAGAATTCAGTTCTTGGCACAGGACCCTCATATGTAATCCACAGCATGGTAGCTCGCTTTTCCTTTCTGGCCAGCAAGAACATGACTTCTTTTTATGTCACCAGCTGGAGAAAGCTCTGCTTTTAAAGGGCTTGTGTAATTAGATCAGGCCCGTTGGGACAATCTTCTGTATCTAAGGTCAACTGACTTGGGACTTAAATGACATCTGCAAAATCCCTTTACAACAATATGTAGAACAGTTGGTCGAATAACCAGGGGCTGAGAGTCTTGAGAGGAACATCTTTAGAATTCTGTCTACATAGTGTGTTAAGAGTCCAGTAAAGAGATGTGAGTCTCACCTGCAGCAGCAGGGAGTAAGGTGACACTAGACATCCTGCCCGCTCTGGTGGCCTAGAGGTAAGAAGCTAAACTACAGTCCTGGACATAAGCAGTTCAAATCCACCGGCTGTTCAGTGGGAGAATGATGGGCAATCTCCTCCCATGCAATTTACTGCCTCTGAAAACCTGCTGAAGAATCAGCAACAACGGGTACCCATGTAGGCAGCCCTCGTGGTTTAGACTTTAGAGATTTGTGCTGTTATCTCAGTGGCTGTGCTTTTTCAGGCTATTTGAATCTACCAACTTTTCTAAGGGAGAAAGACCTCCTCCTGTGTGACTGACAGCCTTGGAAACCTGCTGGAGCATCAGCTATGAGTCAGAACCAACTCAAAGGAAATGAGCTGAGGACTCATGTCATGACAAACTTTTAAATGCTATCCTCATTTCTCTCTCTTGGCTCACACTATCTTGCACTCTTGAGTCATGTCTGAAGGATTTTTCTGGTGATAAATCCTTACCTTAGTCTACTGAGATTTCCACAGCAAGGAGCAGAGTGCATCATTTACTTTCTGCTCAGGGACCTTCTTGCCCACCCTTCCCTCTGCCTCTACTCCCAGGAGGAAGGATGGTCTTTATCTTGTTCTTACACATGGCTGTTGTCTCTGCAGTAGATCAGAGATCACAACCCCATTTCTGTGGTGACATTATAGCGCATATTCCACTGTCATAGAAATGGCCCTCTTGGGAAGAAATCAGGTTCTCCCTTGGCCCACTATCTTCTGCTCTGACCAAGGTCTTTTGGTTTCCTGTGCTACCATCACCTTGTTGGCCCCTAAAGAGTGATTTTCCTTCTCTCATGGCATTAATTATAACAGAGAGGAAACATTTCCTCTTGGTTCACCTGGAATTCAGGAGTCTTTTCAAAAGGAACTTGACTGAGAAACACACAGGAAGAAAAATATAAACAAGAGAACATTCACAAATACATGTTTTTGCTCAACCAGTTGCAAAGACATGCATTTGCTCAGTCTGTTATCAAGTTGATTCCATCTCTTGGCAACCCCATGCATGTCAGAATAGAACTGTACTCCTTGGGGTGTTATATGCCTTACTTTTTCAGAAGTGGATATTCAGGCTTTTATTTCAAGGCACTTCTTGACTTGAACATTTAACTTTTTGGTTAATAGCTGAGAGTGTTAACCATTTGCTACACCACTTGGGATTTTTACTCATAGAGTTGCTATGAGTCATCTATGACTCAATGACACTAAACAACAATAACAACAACATAGAGAGAGCTCTGTTGACCTAGTGGAGAGAAAGTTATGCCACCAAGCCAAAGGTGGGTGATTTTAATCTGCAGCCTTTAGGCCTAGTTTTAATAATTTTTGGTCAAACATTCTTCTAGGTGGTATAGCACAGGTCTGTCCATTTGCTAGCAACTCCTAGTTGCTGTGATGCTAAACACTGTGACACTGGTGTGTCAAATGCGTTAATGGTTAACCATGGTGGACAGTGTTTGTTGGAGCTTCCTGATTAAAACAAGCTTGGAAGCAGGAGTGGCATCCACTTCCGAAATGGCTTGCCTCCGGAAACCCTATGAACTTGGAGAAACAATGAAAGTTATACAAGTGTGCAGGTTTTTAATTCATAGAGTCTCTATGAGTTGTCTACGACTCAATGACAGTTAACAACACCAGCAACATTTGATGCCATTAGTTTCGGCCTCATAGTGACTGATGGAATGATGGAATCCTGCCAGGTCCTGCACCATCCTCATGACTATGTTTGAGCTCCTTGTTGCACCTGTTGTGTCAGTTATCTGGTTGAGAATCTTTTTTTTTCCCCACTGACCCTCTGCTTTATGAACCATGCATTGTCCCTTCTAATAACATATCCTGGGAACTCTGGTGGCCTACTGATAAAGAAGTTGTGCTGCAATTCCAAAGGCACGTGGTTCAAATCCACCGACTTCTGTGCAGGTGAAGGATGGGCAGTCTCCTCCTGTGTGACTTACTGCCTCTGAAAACCTGCTGGAGGAACAGCTGTGGATCTGTTCTGACTCAGTGGGTCAGTTCTGACTCGACAACAACATACCCAAAATATGTGAGATGCAGTCTCACCATTCTTTCTAAGGAACACGCTGGCTGTACTTCTTCCAAGATGTATTTGTTTGTTCTTCTGACAGCCTGTGGTGCTTTCCACATTCTTTACCATCATTCAGAGGTGTCCAGTTTTCACATGTTTATGAGACAACTGAAAATATCATGACTTGGGTCAGACATATCCTAGTCCTCACAGTAACAGTTTCGCTAACTACTCTAAAATTATTTGGCGATACCACTTAATGTAATTAATTATAACATATTTAAAAGAATAAAAACTAAACTAAAATAATAATAAAATAAAATAAAAGTGAATTTATTGTTGAAGCAGGGAAAAAAAAAACCTAGTCCAGGCTAATTGATGTTCTCAGGGTCCACTGTTTCTCGGTTCTTGGGCATATGGGAAAGTAATAGTTTCACTAACTACTCTAAAAATTATTTGGCGATACCACTTAATGTAATTAATTGTAACATATTTGTTGTTGTTGTTAAGTGCCGTCGAGTCGCAGGCAACTCATAGCGACCCTATGAAGGAGAGTCCTCGACGCTTGGGTGCCTTTCATCCTCTCTCCAGTTTCATAGGTTTTCCGGAGGCAAGCTATTATGGAAGTGGATGCCACTCCCGCTTCCAGTAACATATTTAAAAGAATAAAAAATAAAATAAAAGTGAATTTATTGTTGAAGCAGAAAAAAAAAACCCTAGTCCAGGCTAATTGATGACAGGGTCCTCGGTTTCTGGGTTCTTGGGCATATGGAAAAGGAGCTGTAGTGCTGCAGTGAGTTTAGTGTTGTGTTGCTAATTGAAAAGTCCCGTGGTTGGGATGCACTAACTGCATTGAGGGGACAGTCTGTGTCTATTCAGATCTGCAGCTTTAGATACCTCATGGAACAGTTCTTTTGCTAAAGGGTCATTATGAATTGGGATTGCCTCAATGACAATGAGTTTGGTTTGAGTGAGGGTCGTACAGGACTCATTCTGTCCTTGCCCTACCGTCTCAAGCTTGTTCTGCTGTTGGTCCTGGTGGACTTTGTGTCTTTGGGCCACAAGTGCAGAGAGCCAGAATCATCACGCTTCCTTGGTTCTCAGTACACTACTGGCTGCTTCTCTGCTGTTTAATCTTCTCCCAACAATCGTCTTCAATCTCCCCTTTAATTCGATCCCCTGATTTTAGGTACCCTTGCCAGTGTTTGATTCCTTGAAACTTCTGTGTATCCTACAAACTCAATATCGTTTGTTTGTATGTTTAAAAGTAAATATACTGCTTTTTCCTTTGTAATTCACGGTTGTCTACTCTGTTTTGACATACACTCGTATTTATACCCAGTTTGTTGCATCCAAATGCTGATGGTGTTTCAGAAACTGTTCCCCCTAGACTCATCAAGAATATGTGGATTATAAACACATTCCTAATTTTTTCATTTTGATGCATAATTTGTTGTTATGTGCCATTAAGTAGACTAAGACTCATGTGAAGCAGAGATTGGGATCTTGTCCTGTCCTGTGCCATCCTTAGGATCTCTGACACGCTCGAGTTCATTGTGACAGTCACTATGCCAACCCATCTTGTTGAGAGTCTTCTCTTTCTCTGACCCTCTACTTTCCCCAGCATTATATCTTTTTCTGAGAACTGACCCATTCTGACAACATGTCCAAAGATGCAAAAGTAGTACCTCCTAATCTTTTATCTCTTATGTTTAGCAAGTGACTGCTTCCTAATTTTGGTAGCTGGGCTTCTTGTGACCTGGCTGTTCACCTCCTTTGCCTGTTTTTTTTCTACAGAGTTCTTATCATTCTCTTGACTTGTAGTGGATTCTACATATAGTCTAAATAGAAACTCCTTGTTGTCTGTGCTGTTATGTTGAAAAAATGTGTCATTTTGGTGTAACTTTATTAATGTCTTTTTCATCTTAAGAAACTTGCATCCCCTCATCATCCCCTGCCTTAAATCCAGTTCTTTGCTGAAGGACTTTCCTTTCCTGGGTCCAGGGGCCCCTTCTGTATCTCTCTGCCTGATTTTCTGTATTCTGGCCTTCCCCTCTTTGGGGTAAGGGACCAGGATTGCTGCCTTTTGTGGGCACTCAGCACCTCACCCTGTTTAGCTTCCTGACTTTCTATACCAACTCCAATTAGTTGATAGTTTAGGGCTTATTTTGGGGAACATTCACTGGATTTCTAATATATGTTATCAGGGAGCCCAGATACCTTCACATTTGTTAGTTTTAGCCAAGAGAAATAGAACAAAGGAGATCCATCTTCATTCAGTCAGGATTCAGGTGGAGGACTGATTCTGGAATCTGATGTCGTTGTGATGGTATACCGTTGAGTTTGAACTGACGTATAGCTGACCCTCCAGCAATATTTTAAAGGCAGTAAACCGCATGGGAGGAGATTGCCCATCTTTCTCCTATGGAGCAGCTGGTGGATTTGAACTGTGTGCCTTTGGATTGGCAGCATAGCTCCTTACCACTAAGCCATCAGAGCTCCCTGGGATCTGATGTAAGAAGGTTGTTTTATTTGCTCAGTCTTTCCCACAGTCAGTTTCTAGTGATCTCTGCATCTGACACCAAGTTTATTCTCTTTGAGACCCTGGGCTAGGGTCACTGAGCTTGACAGATGTTTCTTGTCTTTCAGGATGGACACATATACACATGCGTGCACACACACACACACACACACACACATCCTTAAGGGTCCAACTTTTGGCGCTAGATCAGCTTATTGTGTGTGTTTCAGGGGCTAGCGTAGAGACCTGGCCTTGCTCAGGCTGCTGGAGGGCCAAGGCTTGGAGGGAAAAGGAGAAGTGAGTGTTCAGAACCCCCCCTCTCCCCCAGGCTTGTGGTGGCAGTGGAGGAGGCCTTCACTCACATTAAGCGGCTGCAGGAAGAGGAGCAGAAGAACCCCAGGGAGGTGATGGACCCCCGGGAGGCAGCCCAGGCCATCTTTGCATCCATGGCCCGTGCCATGCAGAAGTACCTTCGGACCACCAAGCAGCAGCCTTACCACACCATGGAGAGCATCCTGCAGCACCTTGAGTTCTGCATCACACATGACATGACACCCAAGGTAGGTTCGGTCTGCCCCCACCATCCTTTCTCTTTCTGCGGCTCTGCCCCTTCCAGTTCCCTTATTCTTTCAAGTCTTTGTCTCTTCACCTCCTCATTATTATCTCTGCTCTTCCCTATTCCAACATAGAATTTCCGTATGGGAGAAAGTTCTCAGGTGGATTCTTGGCGGGATGGAGGAGACTGATGCCTTATCTCTAAGAGCGCTGAGATGTCAGTATTCCTTACCAGATTCAGAATCCCACCTTTACCTCCACCAGACAATCTTTCTTCACTTGAAATGGTTGCTCATTTCCCAGCTTTGTTGCCAGCTTGCTAGAATTGCTTTCCCCAAGCCACCCTTTCTGAACAGGTGACTTAATTGCAATTTAACAATGTCATCTTTGGTTTCCTTCTGGTGCTAACTAGAGCTTGACAATAGCCACACTAGAGGTATAGTATCCCAAAAGTTTGGCAAAAGAGGAAGAAGTCGAAAGGGCCTGACCGAGGGGTGGGGTGGTCATAGCATAGTGGATATGGGGTGAAGAGTTCAGGAAGGCTGAGCTCCAGTCCTGTCTCATGGAGCCACATCCCTTCTGTGGGACCCAGCTTCTTCATTCATTAAACCAGAATCTAAAGAGGAGATCTGACATTCTAATTTTACATCATATACACAGAATAAGCTGGGACATCTTGTTTGGCTTTATAAGCCGTGTCCCCAGGGCATGAAAGGTAATGGGATGGGGGGAGAAAATCCCATGTAGCCCCTTCTCCTCTCCTCAGGCCTTCCTGGAGCGCTACCTGGCGGCGGGACCCACCATTCAATACCACAAGGAGCGCTGGCTGGCCAAACAGTGGACCCTGGTAAGCGAGGAGCCAGTGACCAACGGCCTCAAGGATGGCATCGTCTTCCTCTTAAAGCGCCAGGACTTCAGCCTGGTGGTCAGCACCAAGAAGGTCCCGTTCTTCAAACTCTCCGAGGAATTTGTGGATCCCAAGTCGCACAAGTTTGTTATGAGGTTGCAGTCGGAGACCTCCGTGTGACTGTGCAGCAGGAGGGGGAGGGGGAGACTCTGGGGGGGCTCCTGAGGGTGGCGGGAGGGGCTTGTCTTCAGGCCTGGCCACATTCCTGCTGCCTTTCTTCCTCTTGCTCTTGTTTTTTTACTTGAATTAACTTACCCCCATCTTGTTCCTTGCTTTACCCCGATGTGAACCCTGAGAGACCATCCTGCTGCCAGCAGTACCTGAGAAGTCCTGCTTCTTTCCCCCCTTCACTTTTATATCCCTCCAGGCCCTGCAGGAATCAGTGCCTCTCACCATCTCCTTCCATTCCCTTTGTCCAATTGTCAGTCTCTTCTGAAAGGGCAGGGCCCTCCCAATTGTACCATCTCCTTTCTGAGACCCCACTCACAAACACAGGTTCTTATAGAAGTTCTTTCCCATAGCCCCTGCAAGTTTTTCCCTGAGGGACAAGGACAGGACTCCAGAGAACCACTGTGCCAAACCCCCTGCAGGGCAGCCGCTACCCCGTGCTCCAGAGGGAGGGTGAAATGATGCTTTATCCTGCCTGCTCACCCCGACCATTACAAACCGTGAGATCTTGTGGCAGGGGTGCTCCTATGTTCTCCCACCTTGCCCCAGAGTTAGGATTCTCCCTCCCAAGGTTATTTACTTCTGTCTATTAGAGCCTCCTTCTCTATTCGCATCTACTTATAAGGGAAGAGCCTTCTTTAACCCTTAAAATCTCCACTTTTCTTTTCTGATTTGTGTGGTCACCAGCGACCAAAGGCTAGCAGGCAGAACCCCTCTAACCACTTTTCTGGGCCTTAGAGAAAGATACCTTCCTTCAGCTTGTGTAACTCTGGGGTCTGAGAAGAACGCTGTGGACATTGCTGGCCCCCGCCTTCTGAACCTACCCTCATCCTTCCCAGTGAAGGGTGACCTGCCACACAGACTTAGTGGCAGCAGACCCTGACTCAACCACCGTGGTCTTACACAAGTGTTTTCCTTTCCCTCTCCAGACGCCCCACACCCGCCGTCTCTCCTCTTGGCTCCAGAGATGGAGCCCTCATCTCTTTGTGGAAGAGGAGCTGGCAGCCCCTCCTCATCCCCTGCCTTAAATCCAGTTCTTTGCCTCAGGGCTTTCCTTTCCTGGGTCCAGGGTCCCCTCCTGTACTCTCCCTGCCTGGTTCTTTGGCCTCTCCCTGTTTGAGGTAAGGGACCAGGATTGCTGCCTTTTGTGGGCGCTCAGCCCCTCTCCCGGTTTAGCTTCCTGATTTTCTGTACTGATTCCATTTTGTTGATAGTTTAGGGCTCTTTTTTGGGGGGAACATCTACAAGCCTTCTAAATATGTTGTGAGTGAGCCCAGATACCTTTAAATTAGGTGGCTTGAGCCAAGGGGACCAGCATGAAGCAGCTCTCATCTTTCCTCAGCTAGAATTCGTTCAGTCAGGACTGCCTCTGACGGCCATGGTGGAGCCTGCACCTGGGCCAAACAAACGCGCAAAGCAACAGGCTTGTTACCAGGTTGCTTTTGACTTCTACTGGCCTCAAGTGTTTGTAGTAGAACTTCTCCGCAGGATTTTCTTGATTGTGATGGCGCAGTCCTTAGGGAGTTGTGCTGCTAACCCAGAGACCGCACCTCTCGTGGTTCAAATCCACCAGATGCTGGGGGTTGGGGGGGTGGGGACGGGAGGGGGAAGATGGGTCATTTCCCTTGTGATTGTCAGCCTGGGAAACCTGACAGTGGGTCAGCCATGAGTCGGTTCTGAATTGTTGGCGATGAGTTTGTTGAGTTGAATCCTTACAGAAGCACATTACCAGGTCAGTCTTCTGAACTCTCACAACACCCTTGATAGTCCCTCCTTTCCCCCGTGGAGGTCACTGGTCCTTGCCCTGCAAAGTACATGCCCACTGACCTCTCCCTGGGGAGACCTCACTGTCGTGATAGCCCTGGGGATGACCAGCCCAGTCCTGATAAGGGTTTATCTGCTACTCTTTCAGAAAAGGCCCCTGCATGCCCTCCAATACTTACTGGCCCTCTCAGCCACTGACTGCCTTGTCCCTGTGGGGAAGGTTGTAGGCTGCCGTAGGCAGGGTTTATGTGAAATACCTTCTGTTCTGGAGTTCCTGGGAAGGCTTTATTTTCTTCTCTTTGAAAACCTGGTTTCAGTGGAGGCCCTTTGGGTCACATTTATAAATACCTCACTATCCTGGAAAATGGGACCTGGATGGTGATTGAGGCAGGAGCTGAGTGTAGGGTAGTTTGAAGAGTCGGTTGTTGGGGGGAGCGGGAATATGTTTGGGGTCTTATTGGCTGCCCTGGGTTAGGGGCGGGAGAGTGTTAATTTTAAGAACCTGCCATGTTTTTAATCACTGTGACTTTTTCATTCCTTTTTCCTATGACAAAAATTGCTTCCCCCAAGGATCTCTCTAAGCACTAAGGGCTGTGACTGAGAATGGTAGTGTTTGGTCCTTTGTGTCAGAACTGTGGTATCTTTGTCTCCCCTTGTTATTATTATTATTATTGTTTGTTCAAGTGTCAGGATGACCTGTCAAGTGTGCGGGTGTGTGTTTGTCTTTTACGTCTCCTACATGAGGAGTTGTCTTCATGCTGTGAACTACTGTGGGGCGGGCAGCGGACTCAGGCCCTCTGAGCAGAGTTTCCCCATTTTGCCTGTCCCACTGCTTACATCTTCTTCTTCCACCGGGGCCTCAGTTCAGGTTGGAGGGTGTGTTCACCAGTTGCAGCCTGGGCCCCATATTGCTGTAGGGGCTGGTGTGGCCGGGCTTCTGTTTTCTATGACTATAAAGCATCCTAGTCCATCCCACGACATCTAGCTAGGCCTTCTTACCTATTTCTGTGGCCAGCCCGCCCTCCACCCCTCCACACCAGGACACTGTGCCTCAATCCTTCACCTACCTCGCCACTCTGCCGCTGCCGCCACCAGTTCTCTTCTCCCTAACCAGCCGTTTGTGTTCTTGCTACTTATTCTTTTATATTTCCATCTGCAGCCTTTGCTTTTCTTCCTATTCTCCTCCATCCCCAACTCCTCCCTTCGGTATTCCTGCTGCAGTCCTGGGAACAACACCTGGGATGAGACATCAGGATCCTTGGGACCGTCTCTTCTGAGACAATGGCTGCCCAGGCTTTCTGCTTCTCTCCTTGTCCGTTGGGCTCCTCCTGGTGTCTGTTAGTCCTTCTTTTCCTTCCTCTGCCCTCCCCATAGGGCAGTATCTGCTGATGGATTCAATCCTGGTGTGTGATTGTTGTGAGTTGTCCTTCCGTGCGCAAAAGGAAGGGTGTTACTGTTTTGTGTTGGTTTCCCCAGCCCCAGTCCCCTCCAAGTGAGATTGTAAATGTAGAACTTTCCACTGTTGGATCTAGATTTTGTTTTCCTCTTTTTTGGGTTACAGAGTTGAGACCTTGTGCATGCATGTAGAAAATTGTAAAATGTAAAAAAATTTTTTTTTTAATATATAAAAAGCTTGTTTTTACAGTTTGCAGTGAATCTAAAAATGATGGCAAATTTAGGTTGGTTTTTTTTCTTAAACATAGGAACTAAAACTGTACAAATTTTTTTTATATAAAATAAAGACATTTGACTTTTGTGGGGGCATTCATTTGCTTTGCTCTTGTCACGGGAGTGGGAGCAGAGAAGGTAGAAATGGGAAGAGAAAGGGCCGAGTGAGTAAACACTTTGTTCAGGGAGCGGATGGGCCAGCAGGGGGCGGTGTAAGCCTGTCATTGCTCTTAAGCTCCTCTGGCCCTGTTAGCAGCAGGTGTCAGATGCAAAAGGAAATTGCTTATTCTGAACCCTAATTCAGAGAAGAGACAAAACCAGAAGAAGGCAAGAAATCACATTGCTGCTACCTGTGGTGGTTGTAAGGATAAGGAAGAAGGGAGGATTACTTTGTGTGTAGATTTTCTGGCACAGTTGGAATGACTCCTGACTGTGTAACTCAAGGTGAGAAGTGGGAATGGAGGAGGGGGTCTCTAGGACAGAAAAACCTGTAGCAGTTTCAGAGAGGCAGTTGTTTCTCAGGGGACACAGTTGATGATTTAAGTCTCCAGCTGAAAGAAAAGACAGATACAGATCATCTAGGAACTCAGAACATCACATTTCATTAGGAAAAAAATCGGGAAACATGTCTTCTTTTTAAATATGTGTATCATTATATCTGACCCTTTAGACACTATGCAGAAGAACATTGTAGCAAAAACAACATTTTGTTCAAAATGAAATTGTTTTCATTAGTCTGAAGGATTAATGAACTATTTGAAGCTCAACTTCCAGGACTCTGAGACCAGAACTAGATGGATCCTGGTGACCACTGCTGACCACATCACAGGAGAAGGTCCTAGACAGAGTGGGGAAAAAATGGGGAACAAAACTAAAAGTAATTTAGACTTCGTTATCTGATAGGGATTGGTAGACTCCTTGAGGCTATGTTCTCTGTCACCCTTGAGCTTGGACTGCCTCTGGGGTTAAATTTTCAACCAAATATCAGACAGGCCTGTGTATGGTGAACAGTAACACCAAGGAGGTACTCACACCGTAGGATAAAGTTAAAAAGGGCAATGTTTTCCCAGAAATAAAACTTAGAAGGTGAGAAGGAGTAGGATAGAAAATTAATGGACAGAAGAATCACAGAGAAGAATTGGGAAGATTTCTGTTAAAAGGTAGATATTGTATGCATGTATGTAATGCAATAAAACAAGATGTGGATGAGTGATTGAAGGGAAAATCAACTTGTTCTGTAAACTTTCATTCAAATCACAATTGAAAAATTACTGTGTGGGTACTTCAGTGCTTATTTGGAACTCTGGTGGCCTAGTGGCAAGAAGCTGTGCTGCAAACCCGAAAGCATGTAGTTTGAGGGCACCAGCTGCTCTGTGCTGGGAGAAGAATGGGTGATCTTTTGTGCGATTAACAGCCTCTGAAAACCCACTTGGTCAGCTATGGTTTGGTTCTGACTCTATGGTACACAACAAAAACAGAAACAACTGCAGTGCTTATAACAGAACAAACAGAAAACAGTCTTCTAAGATTAAAAACAAACATTCTCTATCTTATCTCAAACTTTCTCAGACCCTGAGAATGTTGTACTGAGTGATGCAAAGGTTTCATTTCACTCAACTGCTGTTCAAACAGATGACAATGTGAGTTCACCTGGAAGTCTCTCAAGAGAAGAGATGCTTGCAAGCTGATGATAAAATCGGCCATTGAAAACCCTGTGGTTTTCAGTTCTCCTCTGACCTACAGATGGGGTTGCCATGAATTAGAATTGATTCAGTGGCAATTGGTACAACTGAGACATGAAAGATGAGAGAGCGTTGGTCCATGTCCTGGAGGAACACCCAGTCTACAGGAGACCACAGGCCAAATCGTCTCTTATAATCTGCATATTGTTGGTAGGTGCCATTGAATTGACTATGACTCATAATGATCCTATGAACAGATCTGCACCTTGCCCTAACTTGCGCTATCCTCATTATCACCAACACACTCGAGTCCGTTGTTAGTC